TACCCGACACCAGTGACATATTCGTTGAGGACACAATCGGCATGTCGGGTTTCTCCTTTCCGAGTGACAGCCAGCCACTCAACTCGCATTTCTGCTGACACTAGACCCGCTCCCCGTAGCCCTCCAACGCATCATTGCACGCTCGCCCTACCATCCCCTTGCTTGCCATTGCACCGGGAAAGGGGGCGTTCTTTGCATTAAATAAAAAAGGGTGAATATTCCCAACCTCACTCAGCTTGACCGCTACGTGCCCATTTAATTTTGGCAAGTTGAATCCAGCACAGGCACACTTAAAGTCATGCGCTTGCGCGAAGGACTTATGATTGTGCAGAAGGTCACCAACCAACCAAGCTTTCAGCCACACGACTCTTGTCCTTCCTGCATACAAGTCAGCGAGCGACACTGGCACTACTCTCTCTTTAATCCAATCCTTAACAGACGCCTCCACTTTCCTTTTATCAACAGTAGTACAAAACGGGACTTTCACAGTAATGTTAATTCTCGGGTTTATTCCAAATTTCTTTTTACACACCCCCGTGAGGATACCTCTTAGGATCTGTCTCCCTCTCTTTTGGTTAATAGTTTTCACACTGCTGTTTAGCTGTATCAATTCCTCAAGTGGGAGTACAAGCAACTCTTTCTTTTTCCAGGGTGCACGAAGCAGTGAAATAAGTCTCACTTTATCACGCTCAATTCTGGTCTTAGTCATACATAATGCAATCACAGACCAACTGCCCCCTCTTTCAATCATAGCCGTTGCATCCCCGAGTAATAGCCTCCCATTGTTCCCTTCAATCTTAGTCGACCCAAACAGCAATTTAACCAGTCTCCACGCCTTAACCCATTGACAGCCAGCATTTTTCGAAATCACTACTGGGCACTTAATTTTACGCTTACGCACTACTTTGAGAATTCCAAGCAAGTCGGGATCCTGCCGCACGCCCACTGTAGGGCAGTCAAAGAACAGAGGCTCACTTACTGTATTCGGCACCAGCCTACTAACTTCCTTACTTCTTCCCCCCCGACTCCTTTGTGGCCTTTTTCTACGCCCACACCCTTTCAAATTAAGCCCCGGGTTATGACTCTTAATGGTCTTAGTCTCCATTCCCTCAATAGCAAGTTTCTCCCCGAACCAAATTGGGATCGGAACATAGTGTTGTGGTCCAGCTTTCCTCAGCCATGTGTGTACGCGCTGCCTACTACTACCGGTAACCGCCCGGCAGTGTTCTCGCCATCTCTCTTTGAGAGACCTTATCGTCTTTCCCACGTAGGTATGCCTATGGCTCAATGACATAATAGCATACACACAGCACCCGTCATTCAACAAACGCTCCCACTCCAGTCGGGACATTCGCAGCCAGAATCGCACATATGCTTTGCCCCACGCAATATCACCCCGCACACACGCCAGCAGGATGATAAGGACATGAATATGATCTCACACAGGACTAAGAGTACTATCCACACAGTTTTTCAGAACCACCACCCTATTCACCGCCCGTTTCAGGGAGCGCAGACTACCAAGCTGCTAGTCACTGGTAACCGCCCCAATCTCAGCACCATCACTGAGATCCGAATTGTCAGGATTCCGCGACGGCTCAGCCATACCCTTCGGGGCTATGCCCTTGACCATGCGTCAGCCCAGGGGTGTGTGTGTCCAGCCGTGCGTCATTCTAACGCCTTGCCGGTGTCCATGCGCAAGGCTGCGAAGTTTTGAACCCGCAACCTCATACCACAATGCGCATTTCCAACCGGTGCTCTAACCACTGAGCTACATCAACTGGACGTGCTACAATACTTGTCTGGAAATGAATGAAGCGAGGCAGTTAGATGCCTTGCGTGGAATCCGCCCTGCCTGGCTGGCAGGGTGGTACAACAAAAAGCAAACAAAGAAAACGACATGTCTTGTCTCACGGTCCTCACATGCTGGCCAGATACATTCCTCAAAGCACTGGTGTTAACTTCCACCTACATGATTCATAGTTCCTCGTTTTTTTTTGTTTTTTTTTTCGCTCATTCTTTCCTTTTTCTCCTTTGGCTTAATTGAAGTTAATTCTGAATTGTGTAAGGCGGCCCGACCACGCGACATATGGGCCGTGGCCAATCTGGGGTGTGGCCGAGACATCTCGGCCGTGGCGAATCTGGGGTGTGGCCGAGACATCTCAGTCGTGGCCAGTCTGGGGTGTGGCTGAGACATCTCGGTCGTGGCCAGTCTGGGGTGTGGCCGAGACATCTCGGTCGTTGCCCAACCAAGGGGCTGTTTTTTTTTGTGTGTGTTCCCAGCTGCGGCGAGGCGCCCGACCGAAAAAAAAAAA